CACCAGTTGGAAATTGTGCTATGGCTTCTAATCTACAGCTTCTTCATCTGGAAGGGAAAAAAAAAGGGAAAGACACTGATTTCACAAGTTACCAGAAATATTCATACATTCCGTATGAAACTTGACATAAAATGATAAAATTTCTAATCGACCATTTTGTTTCATTGAACAGCCAGAACCCGACAGCAGGCAGAGCAAACTTTGCTTCATTTGGACTGACAGGTTAATTAAAATCAGCATCAAAAGCAAAACCCGTTCCAAACTCTTCATTTCAATGTCTGTCACACTCCTGGTCCCAATCCCCTTCCCGGTAATCAACCTTCTTTCATTGAGGCATTTCGTAAAGTTTTTTTTTGCACTTGTCATTCTCTAAGAACTAAGTTATGAAGGAGAGAAGCACTGGCTCATCTATTCCCAATCATCCTGCTGGTAAATCATCGCAAGGAAAGAAAAAATGTAAAGGTAATAAACTGAGCTACTTTGAAAGATTAAACAGAGTATGAGTTCGAATATTCCTAGATATGTCAGCTTCAAGTGGAAGAAATTATCTATAGCCACCGGAGTTAATTCATGAATCTTGGAATTAATATAAATACATTCTGGAATTAATTCATGAATTTTGTGCCAATAGTTCAAAGTTTCTTCAGATTATATTGGAACGGGAAAATATACGAAGCTTAAGCTGCACAAATGACAAAACACACAGACCTTCTGCAAAATGGTTGACTTTAGACTCTAAACAAGACACTTACTATGGCTACCTATCAAGCACAGGCTGGCACGAACAACCAGAACGTACCAGCAATTTGCATTTCAGAAAATAAAGCGAATGCTACAGAAAAATACACATTTTCTCATAGAACTCTATACTACCAGAAATTGAAAGGCATACTCATTCTTACACCAACAGAAGTATGGTGGAGAAGGAAACATGAAAACAAATAGCATTGCATCATCATAAAAGGAAACAAACGGGAACTCAACAGCTACACGTTCATAAACCTTTATAACCAACAAAACAGGAGTAACCTCCAGTGGAGAATGCATTTTGTTGCACTAATAAATTAACTCTAGGTGTTGCCATATCTGTCCGGCTTATTTTGCTCTTTAGCATAAATAAAGTTAATCATACATTTTTATTTGGAGTATGAAATGTAACATAAAAATGCAGATGGCTCAAGTAGCAGCAAGAATCACAAAGTAGCAAGGACTAGCCAAAGTTTTCTTCACTCAGCATACACATTGAAAGCCTTGCATGCTTAAATGGACATGTATAAAAGAAGAATAGATAGCTTTTTTTGCCCCTTTCTGTAGAATACGGCATAACCGTCAAAAGACACAATTGCATTAATCATCATGGCTAACAATCAGTGCGGGTACTAGGAGAAAAAAGATACTACATCGTCGCCAATCTTGCGAGGTTGTAAATTCCAAAGAAAAGAGACTACACCAAATATACACTCCAGCAGTTGCATTAATGAAAAGGAGACATGAAGATGAAGTGAGGATTTACTAATGCCGATAGAAGTAGTCCATTTGATTTATTATTGTGCATCGAGGTGGTTCAGAGAGAAGAGAGATGGTGGATGGGTGAAGACTTAGACGTAGCCACCATTGACGCGAATGATCTGACCATTAACCCACCCCCGCATCAGTAGCCAGGAATCCCACCAGCGGAGCCACGTCCTCTGTTTCGCCCAGTCTACCGAGCGGGCTCTCGTCCACAACCCTCTTGATCATCTCTTCTGTCATCCCAGCAAAGAACATGTCCGTGGCGATAGGCCCGGGGCCACGCAGTTGGCGGTTATACCGGTCCCCTTGAGCTCCTTGGCCAGTATCTTGACCATGGACTCCACGGCGGCTTTGGACCCCACGTAGGCAGCGAAGCCAGGCCTCAAGTCGGCCACCAAGGAGGTGGTCAAGCAGATGATCCTCCCTCCGCCGCCGCGCTTGATCCTGTTGGCAGCCTCCCTGCAGCACAAGAAGGCCCCCTGGCGTTAACGTTGAAGATGTTGTCGAAGTCTTCCAGGGCGGTGTTGGCCAGGGTTGGGTACTTGGAGTCGAGTACACCAGCGGAATTGACGAGGATATGAACAGGGGAGGAGTTGAAGGCGGACTCGGCGGAGTCGAAGAGGGACTTGACCTGGGCTGGGTCGGAAATATCGGCTCTGACGGTGATGGCGCGGGAAGCAGAAGCAGAATTGATTTGGGAGGCAACGAGGTCGGCTTGAGCTGGGTTGGAGGAGTAGTTGATCACGAGGTTGGCTCCGAGAGAGGCAAGATGGAGGGCTATGGCCCGCCCAATTCCCCTGGAGCCGCCGGTGACGATGGCTACTCGGTCTTTGAGAGGGAGGGGGATGGAATCAGCCATGCTGCCGCCTGATCCTGACTCCTGCTAACTGCTAAGTTGAAGTAGCGAAAATGGATTGGATGTCTTTGGTTTGATTTGGGATTATTTATAGCTACGGACATTGCCTTAGTTATACTGATACATGCCATGCGGGAATTTTTTTTTTTTTTAAAACAAACGACATTTTGTGGTTTTTGGGTTGGGGGGGTTGGTTGTTGGTTTAAGGGACCGCTGCACATTGATTAGAATCTGACATTTGCATCATAATCCACACAAATGGCGGCTCTCACCATTCTTACGAATAATCTGGCCAATGACCCACCCCAGCACCAGCAGCCAAGAAGCTACAGGGTTTCTTCACCATTCCTCTGGTTACCCTAGAATGGAAGTCCACGCATAAGGAGGCCCCGGTAGGCAATTATCCTGGATCCTATGAGCTCCTTGACCAGTAGCTTCACCATGGACTTTAGGGCTGTCCTCAGAGCCAGCAAATGTCCTAAGCTGGGAGCCAATTAAGCTACAGCCATGGATGGGGATAAGCATATGATGATTCCTCATCTGTGCCTTATCCTGTTGGCAGCCTCCCTGAATCATGAGAAGCCAACCCCTGCATTGACGCTGAACCTGCTTTCAAACTCTTTGATGGTGGTGTTTGCCAATAAGGGAAACTTGGGGATGAAGAGCTGACAAGTGGATGAAACTATGAAGCAGGGAGCTTGAGCAGAGTGATGTACTTGATGACAAGCTCGGCCCCAAGTGAGCCTAGATTGAGGGCAATGGCCAGCCCTATTTCAAGAGAGCTTCCAGTTTACGATGTCTAACCAGTCTTACAGAGGAAGGATGGTGGCTTGCATGCTTCCTGTCTGATTGGTGGTTTGTGGTAATATTGGTTTGAACAGTAATCCTAAGGATTCGAGCAGAGAAGAAACTGACAGCTGGTTATATTCTTCCCAAGATTTGGTAGAAATACCAAAAAATAGACTCGGGAAGCTTTTGTCTTCTTGTTTGGCATGTAAATATGTTACTTCCATCCCAGCCGATCAATGATATGTAGCACTATTAATCTTGGATCCAATAAACTCATATTGGACGGATATTGATTTATTGAACACCTCCTTCAGTTGATTAATATTGAAATTAATTTGCTCTGCAGAATCAGACAGAGTTCTCATCCCATGTCTACTGCATCTGCCACCAGGAAAATACAAAAGAAATATAAATTTTCCAACCTTACCACATTGATCAGCATATGCCAAAATATAGCACTGTGAAAATTTTATGTTAGATAGGATTTTTGGAGTCCAGATTCTATGACAATTTTCAATTCAATACAGCACTATTAATTATAATACATGAAGTCGATTAGGATATGCTTGTACTCACAAGGTTTTTTGTCCCCCTTCTTTTGGGGTAATCAATAAGCTAGTGTATTTGATATATTGACCAGTCAGAAATGGGCTTCTATTGTTCATATGACCTCCAAAATTCAGTGTTTGTTTCTTCAATGCAAGTACAATTATGTGAGATACTGAGGACTACAAAAAAATACCTTGGCTATTTTGTTCCCTTAATTACTAAGTCTTGAATTGTATTGAATCAACAATCGAATAGAGAGGAGAAGATATCAGAACACTGTTTCTCCCCTCCAATTATAAACATCTATCTTGCATTATTATCTACAAGTGAGAATCTCACCTAAAAACTTGATTCCAGTTTGGCTTGTCCATATCTCCACGAAAGGACGCATAAAGACCAGGGTCCTCCTGAAAAAGAACAACACCAAATCAACATCGACATTTTCATAATGCCTCAGTACTCAAAACAACTTGGCAAGCACCTGATCATGCAGAAACCAAAGTGGATTGAGTTATGAGTGTGACAAGACTTGACCAAGGGCTTTACCTTTGAAAAGAGATACATAAAAGACATCATCACGTGTAAGAAAGGACAATTGAAACTTAATGCTTGTGGCGTTCATCAGACTACGATTTCGTTAAATTAAAGACACGCAAATAGCACAATTATCATTTAGCCAACTAACCACGAAAAGTAGTTCTTTGTAAGTGCTAAGAAGTTCAAAACCAAAACCCAACACACACTAGAATTGACTGACACTACTGGTATTCCAAGAGAAAGCTGTAAAACTAGATAATGCAAATTTGCCATGATCAAAAAGAGATAGGTTTAGGTAAAATAAAGGCCTAAAATAAATGCTGTTAAACTTTATCTGTATAATGGCTAAGCAGTACAAGTCTTAAAACAGTTTCAATCTGAAAAGCAAAAATAGAGATGGTTGAGGGCAGAAAGAAAATGGAGCCCCTCTGCTGTCTCCTAATTCTACATGAAAGGGACAATGCAGTAGTGTACGGTCTCAACATACTTCAATATGCCACAATGTGACAACAGAAGTGGTTGTTCTTCTGTGCAGTGCAACCCATTCAAGTCAATATAGAAAAAACACCAAACTGAATGCAAGGTTGACAGGGTGTTAGTACTTGTACCATTATCAATCAGACAGCAAACTGCAACGAGATAAACCAGGAAAAGTGAAAGAACTAACCTAGTTAATTACAAGAAAAAGGTTTTGGGAGCAAAAATTTCCCAATCTCCTACTTTTGGTTCTTGAGCTGGAAGCATGATGATCCCACTTGTGTTCACAACTTTCTAATATATCAAGCTACCAGTAATCTTTGCATGAACAAAACCATCCTTAAAATGATGGAACCGGTATGTATCCCTTACAACAATAGTCCGATTTTCTACCTTTGAAACATACTTAATCCAATTATGGCAATCATTACAGACCCGAAGGTTTTTCATCACTCGTAATGGAATTGAATCAGACAAGCTCAGCAGTCCAAAGGCAATAGCCAACTTTTCGCTGTGGATCAATGCAGTTGGGTCTTTTTGACCAAGCTCCAGTCATTCCAAATGCTATATCGGTCCTGTATGTAACCCATTGCAGCAACCCTAACATTTAAATCCTCAAGAAACGCGTAGATCTGATCTGCAAGAGGATGGAGCTGATCACCGACGAAAAAGGCATGGAACGAGTTTTTAACTTCAATCCAGCTACGACCAGGCTCTTTCTTTACACCTCTGTCTTTCATCAGCTTCCTTGCATGATTGCGATAAACCCATTTCCCGGAAACCGCATACATATTGGATAGAAGAACGTAGGTAGCAGAGTCATTTGGCTCTAATCTCAAAAGATGTTTAGCCGCCAATTCTCCAATTTCCATGTTCTTGTGAACTGTGCAAGCACTTAAGAGTGTTCTCCAGACCATTGCATCTGGTTCAATTGGCATAGTCTCCACAAATTCTATTGCACGGGACAAATGACCTGCCCGTCCTAAAATATCTACAATACAAGCATAATGTTCTGATTTTGGCACCAGATCATGTTTTTCTCTCATGGACTTGAAATAGCTGAGCCCCTCATCCACCAAACCCACATGGCTACAGGCTGATAAAACTCCGATAAAAGTAACGTTATTTGGCCTCACATCCAGTTGTTTCATTTCCTCAAACTGTTCAATTGCTTCGGCGGCACATCCATGTTGAGAATAGGCCGTGATCATGGCATTCCAGGAAACTTCATTTTTCTGAGGCATTTCAAGAAACTCTCTTTTGGCATCATCAAGGCTCCCGGTCTTCGCATATAATGTGATCAACACATTTGAAGCTTCTATCTCAGCAATATACCCAGTTTTTATGATTTTGGCATGATCTGCTTCCCTTGTTTTAAGTTTGTTGTATTAGCAGCTGCACTGACCACAGACCCATAAGTGAACATATTGGATTCTACTCCAGCTAGATTCATCTTAGAGAACGTGTATAGAGCTTCCTCCCAGTGCCTGCTTTGTGAAAAGCCTGATATCAATGCATTCCATGAGATGTTATCCTTATTTTTATTTTTGTCAAATGCCAAGTACGCATCCTGTACTTTGCCGCATCTAGCATAAAGGCTTATTAGTGCATTGCTAATTGACGGGTCCAAGGAATAGCCAGAGGTGATTGATTGTGCATGAATTTGTCGTCCTTGATTGATTGCTTGAAGTCCAGCACATGCAGTAAGAGCACTTGCAAATCCTATATTATCTGATTGAATGCCCAAGTCTTGCATTTCTATGAAAAGTTTGAGGGCTTCCAAGAAAAGATCATGCTGAGTGTATCCAGCAATCATTGCTGTCCAAGAGACAATATCTTCCTCTGTGAGACGCCTGAGAATTTTCAGCCCAGTAGCCAGATTTCCATGTTTTGTATACATATCAATAAGCACACTGCAGACATAAGCATTTTGGTAAAGTCCAGTTTTGATGACTTGACTGTGAATTTGCTCCCCTAAGTCAAGAGCTCCTACCAGAGTACAGGTTCTCAAGATACTTGGGTAGGTATATTGATTAGGCTGCAGGCCTCGACTCTGCATCTGTTCAAAAATCCTAACGGACTCGTTCAGATCACCTCTGAGACCATAAGCCACTAGCATCACATTCCAGAGAACCACATTATCTTTCTGTGTTGTGAGGAAGAATCTATGAGCTGATTCAACATCAGAACATTTGACATAAAGGTCAAGCAGAGAACCTTCAATGATGATATCTGAACACATTCCAGCCTTAAGCGCATAAGAGTGCAGTTGTCTTCCCTTCAGAAGAGCTCCATTGATGCGCAAGCGCTCAAAAGGCTTGAAATTGTAACACAGTCAGGCTTCAAGGAGTCAATCTGCATTTTCTTGAATAACTCAACTGACCTCTCATTATTTCCTTGTTGAACAAGTCCTGATATAAGTGAATTATACGAGACCCTATCCATCTGCTGCATTTTGCTGAAAATTTGTTCAGCAGACATCGGGTGACCGAAGCGAGAATATAAGGTGACGAGAGCATTACACACATAAACCTCTGATGCAAATCCCCACTTATAGACAAGAGCATGAAGCTGCAATCCAGGTCATAAAACTCTATCTTGGAGCATGCACTTATAACACATGAGAAAATATATGGAGTAGGGTTGATTCCTGATATGCGCATCTCATTATAGAGGATGATACTGTCTTCTTCACGCCCATTGTTAGAGAAACCAGATATCATGGCAACCCAAGATACACTGTCCCTTAAGAACATATTCTGGAAGATTTGCTTAGCAGAATTGATGAACCCATTCTTCGAGTACAAGTCAATAAGAGGGTTACAAACGACTGTAGCTGCACCAAAACCGTATTGGATGACCTTAGCATGTATGTGTTCAACGTATTGAAAAGTGACTTTGCCAGCACCGCAGGCCCTCAAAACACTAGCCAATGTCCATTCATCCGGCATAACATTATCTGCAACCAAACGCGAAAGGAGTCTAAAAACTTGATTGTTCAATTTTTCCCAAGAAAACCAGCTATCAATGTATTCCAAGAGGACAGGTTTTTAGAGGGAAAATCATCAAACGTCTGCAAAGCAGAAAATAGATCTCCACAAGCAACATAAACATCAAGGAGCCAACACTGGAAGTCGTGGTCTTGACCGAAACCCAACTTAAAGATCTTTCCTTGAATCTTTCTGGTATGGATTAAGGACCCAATGTTCATACTATAACATTCATTTACAAGCTCTATATAGGTCTTAGAATAAACGGCAGGAAGATCAACTGAGTCCGCAGCATTTCCTTTTTCAACAGATAAATCATCCAAAGCTCGTGCAGCCGCAATATTACTAAAAGCAGCAAACTTTAACCGAATAGAGTTCTTCACAAGAGCTCTGTAAAATTTGACTAGTAAGTGGACTAAGATCTTGCCAAAGAACAGCAATAAAGTAGCATATTGCATATAAAAAGTTTTTTTTTAAAAAAAAAAAAAAAAGATAAAAGGAGTGAATGAAGAAAAATGGAATAGTTGGGAGTAGCTTATCGACCTTTGGGAAGTGATGACGAAGAAGCAGAGAATAGGGGCACAGCCCACCAAACTTTATTAGGTTTGAAATCATATGACTCCTTACTAATGATAATTGTAGATGGTGTTTGGCGAGGAGGAAAATAGAGAGAAATTGGGGAGGGTGGGGTGGGAGCAGAGAGACTTTGTTTGAAGTAGAAGGGGGCCGCTATTGTTGCTGCTATGGAGTTGCGGTTGTTTGGGTGGAATCAGCGAGAGAGAGAGAGAGAGAGAGAGACAAAAGCAGGGGAAGGGGGCAACCTTGCAGCCTTGGACGGCGGTGAGTGGTTGTTGGGAGGCTGCTGCCGCCACTGCTGTGAGTGGTCGGTAAGCCCCTTGTGGCTAATTTGACGGGCCAAAAAGCGTCTGCTGACAGGTTGCCGTGCTGAGTTAGCACGGCAGCGACAGAGATTTTTAAATTTTAAATGGCGTCGTAGCAGATTTTTGATAGCAGCCGTTGATCAATGGCTAGATCGACGGCTAGTAGCTTCTCATGTATTGTAAACCCGCTGAAAACCCTCAACTCTCTGATTTCTACCACATTTCTCTCATCTCTCCCTCTCTCTCAACCCTCTCAATTCTCATTCTCTCTCGTCCGCACAAAGGAAAGGAAAATAGGAGCAGACCTCCGCCGCCGTGTTTCCAAGTCCTGACGCAGATGATCTTTTAAAGCACAGCTCAAGAAGAAGTAAGGGGAACACTTTTTTATTCTTTTAATCAATTATTGTTTGTGTATACTTTATTTTGCTGTATTATATATCATTGTCTTATTTATTTCCTGTGAAACTGGTTTTAGACAAAGAATTTAATTGTATATTGTGTTACAATAAAGTTTATAATATATTGTTTTATGTTATGTTGTTTAGGTGGTCCGAGCATGTAAATTAATAGTAAGTTTAAATTAATGGTTCATAAAAATAAAATGATTTAGAATTAATATGTAATTTAATTTATGACATTGAAGAACAAATTAATATAGTATTAACATTTTGTTCGTAATTTCATAATACTATTAAGTTTTGTTAATTGGCCATGTGATTAAACAGATTAGTTAGTTACTAATTTAATGGGTTAAATATAGGATTAAGAATAAATTAATTTAGGTATCATTGATGTAGTTTTGACCTATAATCAATGTAATTAATTAGGTGTAATTAATAATTTAAATAAGTGTAATCAATGTAGTTAATCATTTAAATAGGTGAAAAAAAATAATTTAGATAAGTGTAATTAATCGTAGCTAATAATTTAAATACGTGTAATTAATGTAGTTACTCATTTTAAGTAGGTGTGATTAATCGTAGTTTTAGCATGTTAGTTTTTGTCGATGGTGAGATGTATTAAACTAATGTTGTGCTATATTAGGGAGAACATGTCGAGCAATAATTCCTTGGTGATTCATCTTTATTGGGGAGGAAAAATTGTATATGTTGGAGGATCAATGTTATATGATCCGCCTATGCCGAAAAAAGTTATGTTCCTCAGAGAAAGAGTAGGTTTTGATGAACTGGTGGACAGAGCGTACAACATTATGAATCTAGACCGGAATAAGTATAAGATTAGTTTGATATTTCGGATTTGCCTGCATTATGGGGTGTTTGGTGCAATGCCTTTGATGGATGATAATGGAGTCGACGGAATGTACTTTTTGAAAGCTAATAGTGGACATGCCACCGAGATCTACATAGAGGTGGAGGAGCTCTTAAGCTTGGGACGATATGATACTCAAACTTTGCAAATTGCAAATCCACATATTGATGGAGGCACTAGTCTATGTGGAAAGGAGCCAATGAATATAGGCGGGACAACTAGCTTATTTAAAAGTCAGTTGATCCAGTTGGATTCTGGAGATGCCCAACCGACTCGGAGAGGATGCAGAAGGGGTACTGGGCGGCAACATATTGAGATGGATCGTCCAAGCGGTAGTCGGCAGGCAAAACGCATGTCAATAGTTGAGCCTCGTGATTTGGAGACTAATGCAGCTACAGTGTTCGAGCCCACGACAAATACTGATGTTGAATTTGTAGATGTGGACGTGGATTCCGAACCAGAACCAGACACCGATGATTCTGTTGATGATGACCACAACTATGATGCATCTGAGCAGAGAAGTAAGTCAGGCGAAGGTGGTATCACCTCATACACGTTGAGCCTAGTGCACCATGTACCATTGATGTAACACCACAATTGCGGTATGAAGCCGGTGTTGATGCTACGTTACGATTTGATCCTCTAGATGTGAGAGGTGTTGAGAAGCTCAAATTTTGGAATGAGCACACGAAAGAGCTACAATTGGGGTACCTATTTCACACCAAAGAACATGTAAAGCGGGCAGTGAAGTTGTGGTCTATAAAGAAAAATAGAGAGTATAAAGTCCGAGAGAGCACTCCAACAACATGGTATGTCCGATGCAAGGCTCGCAACTCCACACCTTCGTGTAACTGGCAGTTGAGAGCAACCTTACGCAGTTCTCATAAGCTGTGGATGATTGTTACTCTTGCAGATGAACATACATGTGTCTGTGTGTGCAACAATAGTGACCACAGACACTTGAGTGAGGATATAATTGCCGAGTACATTATCCCTCACATCATCAAAGATCCATTTTTCAAAGTAAAGAAAATCCAAACAATGGTGAAAAAGGAGCTCCACTGCAATGTGTCATACAAGAAAGCTTGGTCTGCTCGGCGCAAGGCTATTAATATTATAAACGGTGATTGACCATCATCCATATCGTAGCTGCCAATGTACCTGCAGGAGTTCCAATGATTCAACACAAGCATGTCAAAGGACAGGGGCTAAGAGATTTTGTTACTCGACAACACCTTGTGATAAAGGCAAAAGAAGCGTGCATCCTTAAATTGCCATTTCTTGTACATTTTTTACACTAATTACTTTAAATTATCTCTTTAATTATTTGAAATTTAATTTATTTTTCTATATTTTTATTCAACCTAATTGTTTTAAAGTAGAATAACATTCCCTATTTATTTTAAATAAAAAAGTATAAATAATTAGATGAATAATTAAAATTAGATAATTTACATAATTTAAGGTTATCCAAAAAAAGTAAAAGAAAAACTCGCACTCTATCTAAACTAAGAGATTTTACTACAAAAGACTTACAAACTATGGGAGAACCCCTCATTTTTTTTTAAAAAAAATTGCATTTTATGGGCTCTTAATTTATATTACAAAAAACTATTTCAACACTGTAGACATTAAAAATAAAAAATTTTCAAATTCTTCAGAGACATGGCGAGCTCTCATTCTTTAAAAAAAAAAAAAAATACTATTGTTGCTGTGCTGAGCCATTTTCTGCAGAGTTCCTGTCTCTGCATGGAATAAGCTACCAGGAAGAGCAGTAAGCAAGTACGACGTGCCATTGCCACCACTTTTATGTCAAATTAGACCATTTGGTGGATTACTGGTATTTCCTCAAGATCACTTGCAAATCTTTTGCAATCTCCATCACAAAGAGGGTCGAGATGGCTTCGCTTGGAAAAGTGGATAGGAGACAAGAATGCTCCAACATATCTGTTTTTAGTTGATCCGTTCTGGGAATCCCGTGACAAACAACAGATCATGGTACAAATCGCACGGAACTCTAAAGCGCTATAAAGCATCTGGATCACATCACTTAGAAGCACTTGATGATCATCACATCAAGCACGAGCTTAGAACAGACAATTATTGTTTGCTGCACACTAGTTAGCGTCCCTGAAACCCCATGTGCCTGTTTTTTGCCATAGAAGGTAGCCATCTCTCCCCCCTAACCTTTTTCAAACCTGTCACTCGCTCTTCCTCTCTTTTAGCAGCTGCCTTAGCTGCTGCTTCTCTAGCTTCCAATTTTGCCAATGCTTTCTGGCCTGCATCTCTTGCTGCAGCTAAAATATCCATCCCATCAACAGCAACAGACTGGAGTTGCCGTTTAAACTGCAAACAAGCCCAAAGGATATAAGGCCAGTAAGTTCTGAAAAAGCATACACTTATACACACCTTTTTTTGGGTTTTTTGGTCGGGGAGGGGGGTGTTTCTAAGCATACCTTCTTTGACTTCTCGTCAATCTCTTCTCCAGGAAGTATTCTTGGTTTCTTATTTGGTGGTTGAACTTCATCTGAAAAATGGTAAATGTTGCTTTTATATCCCTAGGCAATGCAGAAGAGAACGCATAAGAAGTAGACACCAAAAAATGGTTCAACAATCGTCCAAGTTCAGATCCCGCAAAGTACAAGATTTAGAAGGTGCACTTCTGCTGAAAATGCTTCCCCTCACAACAAATTCCTTGATTAAGTTGCATCTCAACCATCCACAATGGATGAAACCAAATGCAAATTGGACCTGTTTCCTACTGGCGATTCTATATGTCCAGATGTTTGCTGCATAGATGTTTCAGCAACCAAAAGATTTGCTCCATCAAGGTATCTTAGAGATATCCATGGAAATTTTCATTCCAGGATGAATTTATTTCTCTGGTACCAAGTAATTGACCTAACTGCCTGAAGCAACTTCCACGAACAAACAATCTTATAAGAAATGCAAGATTAGCACATCAACTGATCAGTCTAACCATTACTTACAAATATAAGTGGCACAGAAAACGTAAACGCAAAACCATTACGGAGCACCAAACAAGTGGCTGGGGTTGCGGCAGTAGCAATTTCACTTGGACAGAGAAAGTAAATCAAATTGCAATTTGTTGTTCTGAAAGAATTCTGAAAATCAAGATGTTTGATAAAGTTCACTCACCAATGTGATCAAACACAATTCCACTGGGAGCATGCTTAAATAGCTGAATTCCACCACCACTATTTGCTGCATCCTCATCCGGAAAAAGATCTGTGCTACTCACTACTTCTATGGTCTTCTCCATAATATCGTGCAAAATTTTCTGGGCCTGTCATGTAATGAAATTTGATTAGAGAAATAAAAAAATATGGCAGCAACAAAAAAGAAAAGGTCAATTTCAATATCACGAACAATAATGGTCATATGCAGCTCAAGCTACTGTGGTAAAGATATCATTGCTCATTTTTTCTCCAACATCAAGAACACATCTCAAATTTCAAAAAAAGTATGGAGTAAATGATTCTAGCCTGTAGGACAAAATTAAAGGGGAGATCTTGCCTACTAGTTATAGTGGGAGAATGGGAGGATACCACAGTTGCGACCAGTACCTGTGAATGGTAAGTTGGGAGAAAAGAGAAAAAGAAGGGGATTTAGGGGGAGAAGAACAAACAACTACCAGAGAAAAAATCAATTCTTATTCATCAATCTGTCTGCCTAGAATAACATAGAAACACAAGTATTCGCAAGCTATAAACAGTACAAAAGCTCCTATTTCCAATTCCAAAGAGGAAAGCACACTAATTATTAAACTTTAATATAACAATGACTCGAATTAGTTAACAAAAATAATAAGGAACTAAATTTATTCAGTGACATATTTGCCAGATACTAGCTGCGAACAAGTAGAAGGCCAAAAAAATCCTTAAGACCCAAAATTTTAGAAAGTACTAAATCTCAGAATATATAATTATGATAAACAAAGACACTCAATTGACACTCAATTGACACTCAATTGATGTAATCTTGAACTTAAACAAAGACACTCAATTGATGTATTCTTGCTCAGCTTATCTTCACATGATGATTAATTTAAGGTTGAGGAAATCATAAAAATCTTAAATTTCAGATTTACTTGAGCTCTTGGTTGACTGCATAAATAAACTTTTCAATTGCTACTGAAAGGCAGAAAAGAAAGAAGAAGTGGATTTAGTCAAAATCCATTTCCATATACAGTATCTACTCAGAGAAAAGCCACGACAAGAGAGCATTATTCACTCATTAAAGGTAATACTCATAAGTTCAACTTTCTTTGCCATTCTATATAGATGAACAACCTTTCGGTCCAAAATTTATAATATAATTGAGCTAAACCTTAATCTTGACAAATAAGTTCCATGCTTCTACTTTTAAAGTTATAAATTTTCCATCCTAGGGCATAGCCAAATGTTTAAGCTACTCCTAATCCCCTCATTTGGTCAGCAAACATGAAAACTAGAAATGCATACAAGATGGAGAAAGAAAAAATTGGATTAACGAGGCAATACCGGTGAATAGAAGGGGATTTTTAACATGGCATCCTTTCTGAAAAATGAAAAATGATGGATACATCCCTTCTGGAAAATGATAAATGATGGATAGGACATAGATTTGCGAATGCAATATGACTGAAACCGGGCTTGCACAATCACATCTACCAAACAAAAATTTTCATCAAAACATCAGGAATGGAAGTGATCTTTTATATCTAAAATCCTAATTCTGAAATGAAGACGTCTAACAGTCAATTGTCTCTAGTATAGACGGTTGACAATATTATGCTTTGATTACTTAGTGTAACCATTAGGCATGTATTAAGTAATAATGTTGGAAAAATGACGGGAAAGAAGTATCCGAATAAAGAACTAAAAGAACCAAACTTTAAGCATGCAAGTTACGTCAGGAGATTTTTTTTAGATGTAAGCAAGCAAAGGTATCCTCTTTTTGCATTTAGCCGTTTTAAAAGGACCCAAGCGTTCAAGGACAATCCCTAAGTTTTGTGCTTTTCACAAAATGCATAAGCAGCAGCAATCAATGTCTCACATATGTTTGAAACAATAGTTGGGGGGGGGGGGGGGGGGCGAGAAAAAAGGAAGAACCATATTTCCCAGAATGGTATAGTTTCACGTAGTTTCCAGTGGAAACCTCAAAATCAAAGCTAAAAACTACGTAAAACCAACGTTTCAATGCTCAAGTCCTCAACAGGCACAGATAACTCAAGCTGAAGCTAAGAAACACCAGTAGCAGAAAGTTTCCTTGGCATAGTGAAACATAAGTTGGACATTCAACTTCACTTTTCCCTGAATTAGAAATTAAAAAAGCAGTAATACCCTACCCCATTAAGCAATCACACAATAAACCAACCAAAAGTATCTGAATTTTGATAAATTTCAAAGGTAAAACAAAGGAAATACTATCTGGTAAAGAGAAGAACAACCAGAAAAAGTATAAAAGTATAAAAACTTGAAGAGAATAGTAAGTACTACCTTGAGTTGATAATGTTTGAGGTTGTGGGATTTAGGGTTGTCAACTTCTTGATGATGAGGAGTAGAGGAACTGAGTGGAGCAGGAGCAGGAGCAGGAGCAGGGGCAGGAGCAGTGGCGGCAGCAACAGAAACCGAATGAATGGCGGCCTTCCACTCGGCATCTCCATCTTCCTCTCCGCTACTACTACTGCTGCTCATCCCTGCTGTTGTGTGGCTATAGCCGTACTTCTTCTTCTTCTTCTGCCCCAATAAAAAGTTCCCCTTGCTGGGCCAAATGCGGATGGGTCATGGGAAAAAGTTTAGAGGGGCACTTGTAATTATATTAACTTCGAGGGAAAGGTTTTCTTTTTTCGCTTTTATTTTTTTAAGGGGACCAAAGCGCGGCGGGAAAGAGCATCAAAAATTGAGGCGTTCCTTTATAGTAGTCCTATACCCTACACACACACACACACACAAAATCCATCGGAGAAAATGGCGTTGTCGTATCCACAGCCAGGCTCCCTCACCATCTGCGAAATCAATAGAGACCTCAGTTCTGTTCTGTAACATCTCCGCCCCCCTTCCCCCCAACGCAAAAAAAAAAAAAATCCCCTTTTCTTTTTCAAACTCCCTACTGACTCTCTCATTTTATTGATGATATCCCCATTTTGCTTTAATTGTATAAATTGGAGAGTGATGATTTATTGATTCTAAAATGTATTAATTACTGCAGTTACTGCGGACAACCTGTCCGATGATCGGGCCGAAGAAACCTATGCCAAAATTCTTGTTAGACCCTCCTCCGCCTCCATTTTATTTATATACATAAAAGTTTTCTGCTTGCTTCATTTCAAAACCAAATATGAGTTTTTTCTGATGAGTAGAATACTCCGTGTATAAATTGCAGGGGACTGTTTTCAGTCCTGTTCCATTTCAATACGAGACTCTATTGACGGTGGAGGAGCAGGAAGTTGCTGCTGCTGCCCAAACTAAAGGTGGATTGCTGTCGGCTGCACTGCAGGCCGTCTCCACTGCTTCTCTCCGACCCCTTTTCCTCCTTACTCCTGTGAGTTTTTTTATAAGCTTTGGACTGCTACCAACTTCCGTTCTAAGATATCAGGATTTGGCCCTTTTATATCTCCTTATGTTTTGCTTCCATTTTGAGGAACTTCCAAAAGGGTTTATTTCTTCCTTGCTGTCTATCATTCCTGTTGACTTGTTCCGGAGAGCTCAACAAAAGCTCCAAAGAGCGGCCAGATTTTAGAATTAGCCTTCCGACACTAGGATCACCCATGTAATAATATTACACCTGTGCTATCTTTATAGTGCAGTAGGAGAGGATTGGGGTTGCAGCATGTGTGTTGGGAGAGGGGATAGGGGAGAAGGGGGCAAGGCAAGCAAAAGAGTGGCATATCAGCTACCTCTCCTACAATCTGAAAAGCAGATGATTCGTATCTTTTCCCATTCTTTGATTCATTTTAGAACTGGCTTAACTATACCCACTTCTCTGATCCACTTGCACTTTACATAATGACAATAATTAGAACGCCTTATTGGTTAGCTTTCAGTTCTATTCGCTTCCATGGTAACACGTCTAATTCTTAACCACTTTTACTTGTCATTCTTTGTTGGTGTTATCATGAAACTAAGAAGCATTGGTTCAAGCTTTCAGTTTTAGGCTGCTCTGGATTGGAATATAAATTATCTCAAGTTTCCACTTTTCTTTTTTGTTTTAATATCAGAAACTAAAAAATGTTACGTTTTAGATTTTCATCAGAGTAGAAGACAAGTTGGAAAGATTCCTAATTTTTTCTCACATTTTCTTTTAGGTAAAATTGTTGCAAGATGTTGATCTCTATGGCCTGAGCTGGCACCAACACAAAAATATTTTGGCTTTTGTTTCTGGCCCAAATCATGTGACAATTCGCGATTATGAGGATTCAGGTTTCTGGCCTATTATCTTACTTTATTTTGTATTCCATTTATCGTCTTTAGATTTCTATCCCCTATCAGATAGTTTTAGGTTCTGAGTTCAGTTGAAGCCTTGTAATTTATTTTTATTTCTTAAACATGTATTTCCCTGTCTCTATCAGATGGTAAGGATCCCTGTGTTCTGATAAATGAATCCCAAAAACAAGTTAAAAGTCTTGAGTGGCGGCCTAATGGTGGGAGGATGCTTTCTGTGGCATGCAAGTAAGCATGTTGCTTTATGCCAATCTCCGCACTTTGAACAGCTCTTTATTATCATGCTAATGCTACTTAAGTTTCACTGAAAGCTTTAGCTTGGACAAAGTTTTGATTCTTGGGTGATCAGGGGTGGGATCTGCATTTGGGCTGCTTCATATCCTGGTAATCCAGCTTTGGTTAGAGGTGGAGTTACTTCAAGCACCCTTTCGAGAGGCTCTGGGACTAGATGGACTCTGGTGGATTTCCTTCAAAGTCATGATGGTGAACAAATAAGTGCCCTGTCATGGAGTCCTGATGGAAGATATCCGAAAGATTTTCTATTTCCTTTGTTATGGCTTTTGTCAATTGAGCATCAGTTTTTCACTCTATGATAACATATTGCTGAATTTTCAGCACCTGCATGTCCTTTTTTATTTCTTTACTTCGATGGCTTCCTTTCGCTTTTTAACATTTTCATCATGTCATCAACAACTTGTTAAGTTCTTCTAGGTAGTAAATACCATTTCTCTGGTATATGGAAACATCTAACTCTTCACATTGCATGAAAATGGAGCTCTTTGTTAATCACATCTTTGATAAGTCCTCATCTCAGAATCTTCCCATGTGTACCAGAAAACTGGTACAGATAAAGGCATTTAGCATCTGCTGAACCTTTTTGACTATATCATAAAGGCTACACTAAGGAAAGTGGTGTTTTCTTTTCTTTGTTGTCTTTATCAGGCTGTTTACAATCGAAATTTTATCAGTGTAGACCTTCTTATAGCAGCGTCACCTGTGTAACAGCAGATGCTTGGTGAATAAACTCTCAATTGCTTACCATCTCAACCTTGTCCTTTCAGTAGGATGCAACCAATTTAGAATATCTTCTTTGGTGTTTTCTGTTGAGGATGTGAACCTTGTTTCATGAATCTTTTGACAATTCCTTTGAGAAGATGAACTGTGAATTTCATATTTCATCATGAATCTTGCTTTACCTCCCCACAAGTAACTGGAGTACTGCTCTCAATCTTACTCACAAATTATATCGCCTTGATAACACTCTCTCTCTGGTTATTTCTAAAATACTCAGCCGTATAAATGCCTTGAGAACAAATGCCACTAATCCTACATAAGAAGGAGATTAAGGAAGTGACATTACGAGAGGGGTTTACTAGACTTTTCAAGAATTTAATTAATCTCTCATTTGGCACCTGATTCATTGGAGTTGTTAAGATGAACTAAAAGGCAACTATATTTGTCTAGAAGTATTTGGCTAGTTGAGTTTTGAATTTTCTTGACTTTCATTTACATATTTGGCATCAGCTTCATTTGAGAATTCATCATTCACCATTTGGGATGTTGCTCAAGGTATAGTAATTTTGCTTCTCCTTGCTTAATGTCATAATTTTGTTGCTGAAGTCCACAAATGGTATTAGCTGGCATTCTTTTCCATTTTGGGTTGAAAAACAAAGTCAATATTGGATTTAATCTGCATGGTGTTTTTGTCCTATTACCAAATTCTTCAAGTTTTACTCCACTAAATACATGTCATGCCTCTTTGATCCTAGGGTGTTGGTAAAATTGAAATTTGAAGTCTGATATCTAAAGACCGAAACTTAAGTACTGAAGTCATAATCTGCGGAATTCATAAAGTTTTATTTGTTTGATAACCAGCTGAATTTCAGCACTGAATTGAATGTTGTATTCCATGTATATTATATATTTGATAACAATATTATGTTTTATCTTAAATTAAATTATTGTTTTAAAAATAATCTTATAGTACTAATAAATTGTAATCCATATAAAGAGTGTGTGTGTGTTATAGATGGAGAGTATGTTTTTATGTGTAAAAATGTGTCTGAGAAAGAAAAATATGTATTTTGTGTTCCATGCAAGAGATTTAGTTTGAAAATGTGTATTAGAGAAGAAAATGTTGTTTGTGTGTCTGTGAGTGAGAGAGAGAGAGAGAGGGGGGGGGGACAAAAATAGAGAGAATGTATGTTTACAAGTGTGTGCGTGATGGGGACAAAAATATTATGTGTGTATGTCTGGAATTGTGTGGGTGTGTGAAACAATAATTTGGAGTATTTGTACACGAGTATAATTCAGCAAGTTAAGTGAGAAAGCTTTCACTTAGGATTTTGTATACAAACTAGGTGGCTCCTACTGTATTTAGAGGTGAGGGATCAAACAAGCTTTATACAAAAAGAACTTAATTTATTTAAATTTAAGTACTTAATGGGGTTACCAATCACCCACTTAGCAATTGCCATGTTGCGATCAAGAAATCTGTTTAGGTTATATTAGGCAAAGCTCTTTAAGATCGACAGGTGTGCACGTGGAATTGGAGAAACTTTTCTTTTGCATTTGTGCATATTTATCTACCGGAGACATGCAGAAATAAGATGTAGAAAACTTGTCTAATCAGAGTATAAGAAATGTTCCTAATTGTTTCAATTATAGAACATTCAAATAAAGGGATCTCGGGGGATATGGTGGTGCATAATTTCTCCTTTTCTTTGTACTGGATGGCTTTGAAGAATGAAGTATGACTATTTTCCATTTAAGAAAATAGTGAAGGAACTTTTTGGTGCTTGTCAGAGTAATCCTTATAGGAAATGGTATGGTCAAAATGGTTTACCAAAACAAAGATCATAAGCGGTTTAGTTTAAAATAAGCATACAAAAGTATTTGAAGTTACCCTCGACGCTATCATGACTAAAATAGAAGGTACATTGGATGGTTTACCCTGTGGTGCTGAGGCAGGGATGAAGCTCCTGTTTAATCTCCCCCAATTTTCCCAGATGTCTATCATCTGGGCTTTTACTACTCAAACAGATTCTTTTTCTATTAAACATTGATGTGGTGATTTTTCAAGGTGATATGTCAGGTTAATATACTTGCTGTTTCATGGTTGGGTTTGATACTCATTGTGAATGGCTTACCTATTTGGTTCTTGTGTTTTTTACTCATGTTCTTGTGTCCCACTGTGTGTCTGTTGGACACTATGGAGAAAGATGAATAATGGAGCTTTCAATGGAGACCATATCTGCAGAACAGTTTAAGTTTCAATTACCAGACACCTGTAGTTTTGGATAAATGTCCGCTACTCAGCTGACAGTTTTTTTTCCCTTTGATAG